GTTCAGGCTCATTTCCAGATAGCCCCAGTTGAAGTTTAAATATCTATCAACCAAAGGCCAACATGTGCATAAACCCCAAAAGATATAAATATTCACAGCGCAATTTTGGTCTTGCTTAGTATCAATGGAGAACAGTTCTCCTGAAGCCAACACAACAGACCTAATAAAAGCAATGCAAATAAGGTTGGAAATTAAGACCACTACTGCAGGAAGGAGGATGACAGTATTGGGAGAAACAAAGAACCCGTAAGAACAAAGGGGTCACAGAAGCTATAGCCATAGGCACCCCTCATCTCATGCTCTTCTGATTCCCAGCCCTGGAGCCAACGAGCAGGCATGCTGACCAGCCTTTCTCCTTCTGAGTCCATACATGGTATGGGCCATGGAGTAACCACAGGTGAAAAAAAAATGGCTGCACCAAAAGAGATCCTGTGCTCAGCCAGAGGTAACCATGGGCAGCCCCAAAACACAGCCACAGTGAATGCTACTAATCAAATAGGTTAGGCAGCAGTCTCTCTCAGATAACTTATAAGATATGGGCCAAGAGGTCCTGGCCACCCCATATTTAAAAAGTTAGACACATAGCAGTGAGGCCCCTGGAAAAAGGAGACAGAGGTCTTGAGCCCTGGGCTAAGGAAGCTGGCAAGCTAAACCCTGGGCTATAGCAGCTGGCCCTTTTCTTTTCTCATGTTCCCAACCTTGCTGTCCTGGCAGCCTTTCCAGGAGAGGCTAGACCCATCCTCAGAAAGAAATATAGGCCAAAATTGTGGGATCAGCACTGCCTTGACACTTTCTGACTTGGAACCCTGCTGCTAGTCAGGTGGGCTCAGGAGCCCATCTGAGCTATACTTGCATCAGGGAGGGGGAGGAAGGAGGAGGAAAACTTGGTCACCCAATAGCCCATGCTTGTATCTAGTCAAAGGGGGCCAACAGCAGCCTTGAGATCACACTGCCAGCCACAGTGTAGAGCCACCAAGTCTGCAGGCTAGACAGCCTTCTCTTGCTGAGTCCATATGCAGTGTGAGCAGTGGGGTCAGGACTCTCCACATATTAAAAAAATCAGGATTACTCTTCTCAGGCAGCAAAACTTTTTAAAAGTTTGAAAGGGAAATTGCAGAACAGGAGATGTCAGAGTCCCAGACCTATGTTAAGTATGGTTTAAAGGGAGACTTCAGATTCCTATCCCATTACCTGAATTTGCTGTGGTGACTTGAGATGTGAAGGCCCAGAAAAATTTGGGAAAAAAAATGTTTTTTCCCCATTTTTTCATAGGACTTTTTTTTGTTTTTTTCCCTGAAAAATTGAAAATTTTTGGAAAAATTAATAAAACCTCTTATGAAGTATTTTCTTTTAGAATGATCAATAAAATGTTTAAGACAAGGTGTTTGTATATTGCTACCCTTTACTCCCCAAAAATGTTTTCTAATAGCTATGTAATAGGAAGACATTTATGCAAGACTATCTACAATATCAGACCATTACAATTCCTGTACACCAAGGACAAGCAGTACAGTACAACTTCCAAATGCAAGAGCGAGATGCATTTCTGCCCCCAGGGGGTGCTGCCATTTTCACAAGAGAAGGAAGAAGGATTCAGTGCTGCCTTTGCTTGCGGACTTCCTTTATTTTTTACTTTTGATCTAGAGGTTGGTGGATCTGTTCCTGTCCTCCTGACTAGGCCTCAGAGGACTGGGAGTGGACACTGGCAGTAGCATCCATTTATTCCTGTACAGCTTAGAAACCAGGAGCTTATTGCCTTGCTTGCTCAAAAGCCTCAGGAGAGGAGACCAAGCAAGTCTAAAAGTTTTGGAGGTGGAAGGAACCTGCCTCCTCCTGACCCTGTGACCTTGAGATTCACAGAAGTACAGAAGCAGCACAATGGAGCTGAAAGAAAGTATACTTCCTCATTGAAAGGTAAGAGTTTATATTTCTCTGAATTCAGTATATTAAACTATATTTTAGCTGCATTAGTATATATTCTTAACCTATGTAGTTCATAATTGAATTCTTACTAATGTAATGTTTTGTGCCAGATCACCCAACCTTAGCAGTGAGGAAAGGCCTGCAGGGCAGGGAAGTTGTTCACAGCTAACTCTGAGGAGGCTTCTCCTCCATCCCTTACTAAATTTGTACATGCTCTAGCTTAGCATTTATATATACAAGCTAGCCACTAAATTACATTTTTCTTTTTTCTTACTCAGCAAAATGGTGCAACCAACTTCTAGCATATGGAAACATTTCCACACTGCAAGTTATTCTGAGAAAAAAATGTGATTTGCAAATACTGTCAAATGAAATATGCATTTCCAAATGCTACTAGAATGACCAAAACACATCCTTGTATGTAAGAAGTGTTCTGCAGATATTAAAAAATCCTTCTAAGTGAGGAGGAAGTAAATCATGATGATGAAAGTGCAAGTAGCTCTTTCCAATGTTCTCAGTCCAGAAGTCTTCCTACTGCTGCTGCTGCTTCTATAACATCAGCATCACAAAAGGTTGTCCAATCAGCATCCTCAAGTAACCAAATATTGCAACCAACTGTATACAAAAGACTCTCAATGACATCATTTGTAGACAAGATGACACCTGAAGATCAGGAAAAAATTGACCAAGCTCTTGCAAGAGCAATATAGTTTTCTGGGATGCCATTGTCAATAATTGAAAATGCATACTGGCAGGAAGCTTTTAAATGACTAAGACCATCATACCGTTTGCCCAACAGACATTCTTTGAGCAAGCTTCTTTTAGAGTCAGAATATGAACGTGTAATGCAATCTGTGCAAGGAAAAATCAATGAAGCACTGTGTCTTGCAGTACTTACAGATGGATGGACAAATGTGTGGGGAGAAGGAATCATAAATTTTGTGATAACAACACCTCAGACAGTTTTTACAGAAACACTGAAACAGAAGCGAACAGGCATACTGCAGAGTATATCATTAGTAAAATATATGAAGTCCTACAGAAGATTGGGAGTGGTAAAGTTATTTACTTTGCTGACTGACAATGCAAGTAACATGAAAGCAGCATGGGGGATCATAATGGATAAATATGCACATATTACTGCAATAGGATGTGCATCTGATGGGCTAAACTTGCTTCCTAATAACATCATGAAGTTGGACACTCTGCAAAAGATCTATAGAAGAGCAAAAGAAGTTATAAAATGTGTAAAAGCTACTCATATTGTAGCTGCAGTCTTTAAGAAGAAGCAGGAAGAAAAGAATGTAAAGACTAAAATAGTGACACTCAAACTTTGTAGTAAAACTAGATGGGGTGGAGTGGTGATCTCATTTGAAAGTTTACTAAAAAACAAAGAAGATCTTCAAGAAACAGTAATAACTGAGGTTCTTAAAGTATCTAGAAGTGTAAAGAACACTGTACTTGATGAGGATGTCTTCTGGGTTCAGCTACAGAACTCCCTGAAGATTGTAAAGCTAATTTCTTCCGCAATCACTGCATCTGGATCAGACAGTGCACTTCTGTCAGACATTCCTTACCAAATGGCCCAGATAAAATCAACTGTTTTTAAGAATCTAAATGTATCTCCACTTACAAGTATAGAAGAAAAAAAAGTGAAAGACTTTATTAACAGACGGGAAGAATTTTGTTGTCAATCAATTCATGCTGCTGCAAATCTCTTGGATCCAAGATTCAAAGGCAGAAATGTTAGAGATTGCATTTGACTGGATTACAAAACAAGCAGTGTACTTTCAAATGTTGCAGAATACAGAACATCTTCAGGTATTTGGTCCAGGAATGCAGTCTGGACTCTGCCAAGGATATCGCTCCTGCAGCATGGTGGCAAGGCCTTTGCAGGACACAGCCTCTGACTCCTCTTGCTTCTCACCTGTTTCAGATTCCTCCATGTTCTGCAGCATGTGAAAAAAACTGGTCTGTTTGGAAATACTTGCACCAAATCAAGAAACAAACTAACATGTGAAAGAGTAGAGAAGTTTGTCTCAATCTGGGCAAACCTTCAGTTTTCAGAAATCCCGGAAGATGATAAAAATGAAGGATAAGAAGCATCAGAAGAAGCAGAAAATGCCGATAGTGATAGCTCAGAAAATGAGATTGATTAGACAAAGTTTCATGTAGCAAAATTTGTATTCAATGAGTCTTGGCTTTTTTCTCCTTTTTTTCTCAGCTCTTTTTCTAAAAATGAGTGTTTTCTGTATGTGCTTGACACTGTGGAAGAGACTAAGTCCAGAATATGTGATAATTTTCTTTGTTTTACTATAATGTTCATAGTTTCTTCTATTTTCAACTTTAATTTTTGCCTGCTTCTCATAAACTGGCAAAAACTAAGAGATGCTAGGTTCCTTAGAGTTCAGTAGCTTGTAGCTCCATTTGTAACAAATGTAAAAACTTTAAAAAACATTTTAAGGTAAACTGAATTTTAAAGTAAATTGAATTTTAAATTGAATTTTAAAGCAAATTCAATTAGTAAATTTGTAATTATTGTCTGAATAAACTATACTTTTAAATGTAATAAATATACCAAACATGATAATTTAATGGGCAAACCAAGTTATACATAATACATTTTATGTTCTTAAAGTAGTAAAGTGAATTTAAATCTATAAAGTGCGTTAAGAAAATAAGTATTGCATATATTTCAGTTTTCCCCAAAAGTTCTGTTTTTTTCTGAAAAAAATGGGGAAAAAAACAGGTTTTTTCCATGGCTTTAAAATTTCCAGAAATTTTACATTTCTAGTTGTGACCCCTTTGATCCTATGGGTTCTGTAATTTCTGTAAAACTAATTTTCTGCTGATATTTTTGTGGGATAGACTTGATTCTTACAGAAAGCTACTGCCAGATCCCATGCACAATATGATAGAAATTAAGAGGCTAAAGAGGACAATGACTGACTGTTTGGAACAGGAGAAATTTAGACTAGATATTAGGAAGAACTTTCTATGGAAAAGTTAAGCCCTGGAATATTTTCTACAACATCTCTAAGTGTTCTACAGCATCTCTAAACAAACATTTGGCTAAGATGGTTTAAAGCCAGGTAGATTTGCGTCTTATCAACTAGCTACATCAGAGATGCATAAGTCTTTGTAAGCAGCAGCTTGCTTCAACAGATGCTGTCTGGGAAGATCCTTCTTTGAGGAGGGAGTGGGATTTAGATAATCTCCCTTAGATCCTTTGCAGCCCAATTTTTCTATGATTGTGAGACTGGTCAGAGCTAGTGCAAATACAGTATTTATACATTAAATTAAAATACATCATAATGGTTAAATGTTCTGCGTAACTGATGCATGCTCTCTTTTATCTTAGGTCTTATGGAAAATTACGATGTACTTCCTATTGTTATATTGACTCTACACAGTGTCGCTATTTCACATGAAGGAAAAATGGCGGTGGGTAGCATCCCACACATAACAGGTACACCAGGTGCTACACTATCATCACTACAAGAAGAACTGAGACAAGTACAAAAAACCTCTGTGTGAAAAAAATATCATGCTGCTGACAGCTATTTGAAATTTGTTTTGTTTTTGTTTTTTAAATCGAGTCAAACTGGAAGAAAATAGGACCACTGCATCCTGTCTTAATAGAAAAATGTCAGAGTTTGCCAGTAAGATTTGTGTTTCACATGGTTGCATGTGAGAACTACTCTGTATAACAAGTGCAACATTAAATCACTGGAAACTGAATTTCACTAACCAGGAATATTGCGCGACAAGACAACAATACCTCGACTTAGCACTGTTAGATCTAATGTACACTCTTCAGGGTTTTTGTTTTTAGACTTTCTCAATGTAAACACAAAGCATATCCTAGATGCTCTGTTTGCAGAGATTATTTACTCTTTTACTACAATGTGAACTTCATATGTGTTGTATCGCATGAAAGACCGCTTCAGTGACATACAAATTAGCTAAAAACACTCATGGGTGGATTCAGTAGATGCTGTCCAGTAAGCGGTTTTAAGGGCAGCAAATCAGGGAAAGGAACTGATCAACGTTATCTACAGTATATACAGTGGATAAGAAGAAGAGCTGTAGAAATGTGTGTGTGTATATAAAAATGCTGATGGATCACACAGGGCCTACACTTGCAAGACAAAAAAAGCCAAACTGGAAGAACTAACTGGAGAAACTCCCTGTCTCAGGAGGGATCAGGCATGAAGAAGACAAAGAGTTAATGCATTTTCTTACCCTTTGTCAAGTTGGCTGTATTGCGGGCTACTAGTGATGCCGCAGGGACTTGATTCTTTTAGAATTTCCCAGGATTACTTAAAAACTGTGGTGAAGATTACAATGTGGTCATTTGCATGTTGACTTTCACTTTAGTTTCTATTCCAGAAACCATTGCTCTCTCTTTTCTTTCCTTTGTTCACCTAATCTTAATCCCTGTTATTTGATCACGTTCTTCACTCTCTCCAGATTTCCTGTTTTGTCCTATCCATCGCTGTCTGGTTTTAGTCTTGCCTAGTGTTCATCACTATTCAGTGTATATTCTCCTTTTTACATCTCTGTAGAACTAGTCTCATGGTGGTGTGTTTATCAATTCCCATTCAATCTACATGCTGCATAGGTTGTATATATATTTTTGTTTTATTTTTGGAAAAAATTGGTCAAATGATATGTTAGCTCTAATAGCATTCAGGGTAATTATGTATTTGTTTACTAGCAAGCTTTAATGAGTGAATGTCATACAGGAGCAGCACTGAGTATGCTACATGCAACCAAATTTATAATCAAAGCAAACGCTACATACAGTGATGTGTGCAATTCAGGGATATAGGTCTCAGAATAGTTTGTCATTGTCATATTGGCCACTTGGTTCTGCTTTATGCTAAATACTATACGTGAATGTTTGAAATGCATGAATCACATGTACCAGTGACAGCACTGCAATGGTAGTCATATATACAGTTACTTCTCTAAAGGTGATAATGCATTAACACAACCAACTGATATATACACTTTCCCCACGTGTAGAAGACTTTGCTTTCATTCTGCATGCTCATGGCAATACTGGAAATCACCAGTGAAAAAACTAATAAAGGCAGTTCATTTACTTGCTATGGCTATCTCTTACCTGCATTGTTTATGCTGCTGTGAGATGAGACCAATATTGTTTGTAGTCCAGCCCACTGATTAGATGATCAGTCTTCTTTATCATTTATTTTTTTAAGCAGAGGAATTAATAAATGATCACCTTTTAGTTAGATCTGTGTGTTTTGTGTACATTTCCTTGATATTTTAAACCCTGTGGAAGAAGAGCACCTACCTAACCTCTGTGTTGGTAGAAGCTGAAGAGGCAGGGCTGGCCCACAATTTTGGGGGGCCCCCTGCAAGATGTAGTTTTGGATGCCCCCGATCAGTCAAAAAATCAAAATTGCTGGAGCTGAGGTGGGAGTGGAGCCGGGAACTCTTCCCCCATGCGGTTAGGAAGGGGCTCCCTGCCTGCATCGAGCCCTTTAAGCATGGTGCAGGCAGTGGGGGCGAGCGGGGCACAGCTCCTTGGCTGTGGGGCTGCTTGCAGCTGCAGGATAGGATGGGCTGGCCCTGTCAAGGGGTAGGCTATAGCAGTGCCATTTAAATATGACATATATGTAACCAAAGTGAGGCACGTTGAAGGAGCATTGTACCATGCATTGGGGTCCCAATACAATACTGAGGTCCCTGCAAGTACCTACCTAAATCATTTATACAATATTACAGCTAAAACTTCAACAGCAGCCTTAAGTCAGTCATTTGAAAGTTACAATATAGCCTGTGCAGTGCTATGCTCTAACTCTGACAGTATACTACCGGAGACATTATACTACCATGGTGAAGGGCATGCTGTAAGAAACAAGAAGTAGGCACGCGCTTTGTTTTCCTCCTGGTATTTCTCAAGTGTATGTGATGCATCTCCTTAAAGAGGTTTGTCCAAGCAGCATGCATTCTAATTAGTAATGGTAGAAACTGAGCATCAAGCTCCTTCTGCAATATGCTAAACACTTTCTCACCAGGAGGTAATATTGTACATATTCAAATGTTGTTGGCAGTTATCCAAACTTGAGTTAAAGAAGAAGTGGTCTTTACAGCAGAGCCAAGTCCTTCCAATAAGAAAGTCTGTTGGTGATGCCCATCAGCTTCCCTGCTTTATGTTCTGACCTTAATTATAAAGTCCAGCTCATCTTTTCTGCATCCTTTAGTTGGTCCTCTCAGTTTTGAAGGTGCTTTTCTCTGCATTGTCCTTAGGATGCCATCATGCTTACAGTGGAGACGGCTACATTTTGTTGAGTCATAGCCTGAAAAGCTGTTGTCTATTCCCCTGTAAACTGTCCTATTATGTGTAAGACACAGAGCAACAAGTTACTGAACTCTCCGCTCTAGGCAGTTTAGGGTGCTGGCAGGAAACTGAAGTGAAGCAGATAAGTGGAGAATGTAAAATTGTCAATAATCCTGAATAGCTGGTGTCTACTTAAGCCATTAGGGACTACGTAAGTTATAAACAGGCTGAGCACAGCCAGACCAGATGGCTTAAATTGGGGGGGGAGGGCAGGGAGGAGAAGCCCCAAATAAGACTCCTTTTGTGTATCTTGTTCTTTCCTCCTTCCAAAACTAATATATTAATGCATTCAGTTATATCCTAAAAATGTGCCCTCTGCTGTGAACTAGGCCTCCTCTTCTCATTTATATATTGAAAACTGGAATCACTCCAAGTTCTAATAGGCCAGAGCAAAAGTCTGGTGGTATGTTCTGATTGCATTTGTAATTACTGAGACAGTTAAGAGAATGGACCCAAGCCAGTTCAGCAGTGGAAATGTTGCATCTGAACAAGGCAGCCAATTCAAATTGCATTAAAGGAGTGTACTCCTGCTGGAAATTACATTAGGATTTTTTTATTATTATTCCCTGACAAAGAATTGGGACCAAAAAAGAGCTGGATTATAGCCCTCTTCTTTCAGTGCTTTTAATTTGTTTTGACAGCCTCCTCTATGTTTTGTACAAGTTTTAGTCCAGATGTAGTTGAACTAGGCTGCCATTGACAGAGATGTCTCTCTTCTTTTAAGTCAAATGGAGAATGGAGTTTATTTGTGTATCTTCTCCTCCAGCTAGGATGCATTTGTACAGCATCTGGATTTGTTAGTCTTCCAAGCACTGAGTGGATTGGAATTTGGATAGGGGGTAGACTGATGTGTTGAGGGAAAACATGCTGAAGGAGACGATGGAGTGAGGCTGGGGTGTATGATGATGGGTTCTTTTGTTAACAAGTGAGTTTTAGATTTTACGTTACAAAATTGTTTTATTGCAAGGATTAATGAATTGTTAGGATTTAGGGAGGAAAGTAGGATGTGATCCTGCTCCCATTGCAGGCAGAAGGCGATAAAGTGGTGGTATAGTACAGAATAGATCTGTATTTCTTTCATCATCAAGCCCCATTTTAAGCACTTGCTTGAAATGGATTGCCAAAGGAATAATCTCACAGGTAGACCAGTACAGGTCAGCATCCTGAACATGTGCTATGTTAGATTAGATCTCTAATACCCTTCCCAGACAAACAGACACACTATTTAATAGAGACTCCATTACCCTTCTGCCTGGCATGTAAAGTGATGCAAGATGCTTTGGGTAAAGCATGCATCCAGGCCTGTGTACTGTATCAAAATATGTATTTTTTTCATTTCCTTCAAGGAATCCTGCTGTTGCTACTGATGCTGCTTAATGAAATGCTATTTCCAACCAAGAGAAACCCATACAGAAGCTCTGTGGGCATTCCTGCTGGCAGCTTCAGTAAAGTAAGTGCATAGGCAGTCAAGTGAGGGATAAGGGAGGCTGCTTTACCTCTGCTATTCTGTTACAGGTGATCAGGCTTACTGAACTGCGAACAACAGCCAGTGTCTACCTTAGTTTGTTGGTAAAACAGCTGAAGCTTCCACAGAGCAGAAAATGCAGTGATAAATCAGATCCTACAGAGAAGAAGATATTTATTTTTCTAACCTGGTAGGGCATCTTTAAAATAGGGAAAAAAAGTAAGGTAGAAATATGGGGTTCGGCTTTTTTCTTTTAGAAGAAGCATGGCATCAGTTTCTAATATGCAAACGAACAGACTAAGTCAGTGAAGACCAACCTAAGGTGACAGAGACTGATCCTATTGGCATATATCTTGACCAGTCTAAGCTGGAGTGGAGCTGGCAAGAAGGACCATTACTCTTAGGGAAGAGAAAAATTGATTTCTAGAATAAATGGGAGAGCCCATGTAAACAAAATAATATAGTTTGGCAGGGGGAGAATTAGTAGAAAAGGATCACAAGGCCATTACAGGGCAATCTTAGGTCCCGTATGAATCATCACCAAGGCTCATTTCTCATCTCTAATGGTGGCCAGTGTCGGATGCTTCAGAGGAAGACGTGACAGTCTCATTGAAGGGACATGTGCCATTACCTGAGCATGTTGCCATATCTTTGGAATTTTTTGACAGTGTAAGAGTTGTATAAGCAAAGGAGCCATTCTCAAGTCTGGGGTCCAAATTGCTTGATTTGTTTGGCAAGTATGTCTTCAAAGCCGGCTGCTTTCCCGATCTTCAGTGCGTTAGTACCAACATTCAGTTCCGTCACTGAGAAGGGTCTTGTAAAACCCAGGTTTTGCCAACCACAGTTTTCAGTATCGATGTTTAATATTCTGTATACCATTTTTGCCTACCATGGTATACAATTTTGAATAACCACAGTTTTCCATGATTACTCATAGGCAGAGGGAGGAAAAAAAATTGGAGGGGCAGAGCGTGTGCACGCATGTGCAAGTGTTTTCCCCTGCAGGCAGAAGAGTCTGAGGGGAAATGGGTAGGAGGAAGGGAAAGGGCTGGGGGGAGGAGGGAAGGGCTGCAGTTGTGAGGCGCAGCTGTAGGGAGCAGAGGCTGAGCCCAGCTGCAGCCTGCCCATACCCTGTACAAAGATCGGGGGCCTATACGCCACCCACCCCCCTTGGTTCCCCGGTACTGCACCGCATCTGGAGGAGCCACCAGACTCCAACTGCCCCACAACCTGGCCCAGCCGGGGCCCTATTCACAGTGCATTGGGCCTTGGCCAGGCTGGGTCATGGGGCAATTGGAGCCCAGCAGCACCTCACGAGCTGGCGTGGCGCTGGGGAGTGAAGGAGGGGGTATATGGGCCCCAATATTTGCACAGGGAAGAGGCAGGCCACTGCAGGGCTCAGCTTCTGTTCTCCACATCTGCTCCTCACTGCTGCCTTGCTATCAGAGCTATCCTACTCATGATGGCAGGGAGCAGCAGGTTTACTTGCCACTGTGCCCCACTTCCTTCCCCCATGACCCGGTGCGGCAGGGAACAGAGAAGCCACACGGGAATCTCCTCACCCACCACTGCTTGCCCTGCACTGCCCTGGCAGTGCTCCTCCTGCACACAGTGGCCTTCTTCCTCCCCTGGATGAGCCACCCACTGCCCTGTCCTGCTCCCCACTGGGGCCCTGCAGCCCCTGGTCCCAAGCACCACCCAGCTGGGCAGCAGTCCCCCAGCTCCCTCCCTACAGGGGCCTCAATCCCCTTTTACCCTCACTTACTCGATGTCCAGGGGTGTGGGTGGGTAGTTCCTGCTGCCGCCAGGCTCGGATGGTCCCACAACCTGGCCTGACCAGGGCCCCATTCAAGTCCCTAACCCCATTTTTCCCATAATCCTCTGGTTATACCAACCACAGTTTTACCAACTGCAGGAACTTCCAGGAACTTAACCCCTGTGGTTGGCAAGGGAAACCTGTATTACATGTTGTATCAGTTGACTCAGTCTGGGTTTGCCTGGATTTCCTGTGGTCTTCTGTGATGGCTAACATGAGCTTCTCACTTGTAGTAATGGTGTTGGTGGGAAAAGAATCTAGTTCATACTGTCATTTGTAGTCTCCGTATGGGTCAGTGGTTTGTGAGTGAGGCTTGGGTTGTAATTCTTGCAATAGCCCCATGAGATGTTCTGCCTTGCAGATTTCTGTACAGCTTTTATGAATTGGTCATAGGTGATTGGCTTTGACTATGTCATGAAAGTATTCTGAAAAGCCTTTCCAGTTTGCGTTTTTAAGGGTAAAACGTCAGCAAAATGGCACTGTTCATAGGTGTTACTATGGCTTTGATCTGAATGCCACTTGGTCGATGTTGGGAATGTGGAATGGGGTCTAATACTATTTTATTACTTAGCCCAGCAGTGGTGTTGCTGGTGAATATAAAAGGTCTGG